TGTTGTGATTTTTTTTCAGAAATCGAAGGGGTGGGCGTCAGAATCACCCTGAAGCCCCCACCCCCACCCCATAAATCCGCCTCTGTGAATGCATGCGCCACTGTAACAAACAGTAGCTTATGAACACATGACCATCATTTGTTAGTCAGTAGAATTTGTTTTTTTTTTTTTTCGCGAATTGATAATCATATTCTGTCCTTAATCAATGCATATGTGGCCTGGGATGTTTCAGATGTGGCCCCTTGCCAAAATCTGTTAAAAAAGAAAAAGAAAAAGAAATGTCAGGCATCAATTTGTTTTGAATTGAAGCAAATGTAATCATATTTCGGTTCAGTGATAACCTTCACCAACGACAATGATAAAAATATGGTTGTGTTGCACATTTGTTACATATAGTTTAAGAAGTGGTTCCAAGTGCATGCGCTTTTGTAGGATGCATTTAAAAATACGTGTTGCTTTAGATTTTCACACAGATTTGTTACACAATGCTACAATGTTCGGACAATCTGTCCCAAACAACACCATGCTACATTAAAAATAAATAAAATAACGAAACGGATTTTGATGGAAAATTTGATATTGAATTGATACAATATACATCTATTTTCAGCCAAACTGGACCAAGCACCACCGGAGCAACAGGGTAAATACACTGATCTATTATTCTTTTGTTTGTATAAATAGCGCTTATGAATGCAGGTGCGGATCTAGGATTATTTGAAGGGGATGTCTACACTTCACCCCTGACGAGGGTATTTTGGTATTTTAAGGGCGAACGGTGACATTTAGTCAGTTTAAAACTATGATTCAGCAAGTCAAAATTCTAATTTCAAGAGGGGACCTTTGTTGTGATTTTTTTTCAGAAATCGAAGGGGGTGGGCGTCAGTATCATCCTGACACTCCCCATAAATCCGCCTCTGTGAATGCATGCGCCACTGTAACAAACAGTAGCTAATGAACGCATGGCCCTCTTTTGTTAGTCAGTAGAATTTGTTTTTTTCGCGAATTGATAATCATATTCTGTCCTTAATCAATGCATATGTGGCCTGGGATGTTTCAAATGTGGCCCCTTGCCAAAATGTGTTAAAAAAGAAAAAGAAATGTCAGGCATCAATTTGTTTTGAATTGAAGCAAATGTAATCATAATTCGGTTCAGTGATAACCTTCACCACCGACAATGATAAAAATATGGTTGTGTTGCACATTTGTTACATATAGTTTAAGAAGTGGTTCCAAGTGCATGCGCTTTTGTAGGATGCATTTAAAAAGACGTGTTGCTTTTGATTTTCACACAGATTTGTTACACAATGCTACAATGTTCGGACAATGTAGGATTCATTTAAAAAGACGTGTTGCTTTAGATTTTCACACAGATTTGTTACACAATGCTACAATGTTCGGACAATCTGTCCCAAACAACACCATGCTTCATTAAAAAAATTATTTTAACGTACATATTGAGACTCTTTTTTTATCTCATTAGCTTCCATCATTAGAATACTTTTAGTGGCGTGCAATATTTGCAGCAACGGTATTTGCCCATTGCTTCCTCTGTATGAAAACCTTAACGCTGCCAGATGCAGAGACGTTCTCCAGCAGAACCTGGAGCCGTTCACAAAAGGGATGTACAGAGGCAATTTTAGATTGCAACATTACAATCCAACTCCCCACACAGCCTGCTTATCCGACAAAACAACATTCAGCTGATGCCACAGCCAGGAAGAAGCCCAGATGGAAACCCAATTGAGAACATGTGGGACGAACTTGGTCGTGCTATTCAGAGGAGAACCCCCCCCCCCCCCCTGCTAATCTAGATAAACTGCGAGATGCCCTTCAAGATGAATGGACCAGAATTCCTCTCCAAAGAGCTGTAACTCTAGTTCACAGTATGCCACGCCGTCTGGCTGCCATTATTCAAGCTCGCTATTTACAATATAGATTAATAATGAAATATGAAGATTTTTCTTGACAACCCCCCCTAATTTCATATTAATTGTCTATCATAGTATATATTTATGTTTAATTTTTCACTTGGTACTCAGGGCCGAAGCCTGAGCAAAATGCCAGGGGGGCAGTAAGCGGACACGAGGGGGCGAAGCCCCTGAGGGGGGAGGGGATGTCCCCCTACCAGTGTGGAAAATTCTAAATCCCAGGGTGGGCAACTGCCCCCCCCTCTTTTTGGGGGCATGAGAAAAAAAACACTAAATAAATTAACGCTTTTTTCACATTTGCATTGGTTGTTTCTCCTTGACTTGACCAATCATCCAGCTTCACATATTTAACAATATAAACCGTATTGATTTGGTAATATCAATAATGATGAAAGAAACAGGGCGATAGCAACCATTTTGGGCAAGAGTGTATATGCCCAAGTCCCTCATGGTCATTTACAAAGTGGGCTTGGTTTTGGGATGATATGATATGTTTTCTTTCTATTGCAGTTGAATTTGAAACGTCTTTTCTTCTTCTAAGCTCGCGTTATTACCTACTGGTAGTACATTTATATCACTTTTTTATTTGAGGACGATATGAGTTTTTTCCTTTGTTTTTAATTCTAACGCACGTACACTGTGGCGTGCACATGAACATTTTATTTAATTCGTTAAAAAAAGTAACCAACGCTGTTCGTTAGACAAGTGTAGTATTGTCTTTAAATTACAGTATTACAGAGGCTAGGTTTGCACCTTTTACGTCCATTTATTTTCATTCACAGATTTGTTACGAATTGATGCAACATCTAGTGCCTGTATTTATCAGTTCGCTTATTGAGTCTTGGTGCCCTTTTGTCACTGTTTCTCGACACTGTGCATACTTCTTGGTGGAATTGATAACATTCGGACTTTTTATAGACATGTTCCTTTTTTCAGACCCGGTGCAGTAGGAGGCGGTGATACTAGAGATGATTCCAAGAATAGTAAATGATAACTCCGCTAAAAACCTAGGAAATGTGACACTGAGTGGGCACCTCATCCATCGAACTTGACTCCCCTCCCCCCAAGATTTTTATCTGTTGGGGTATCTCAAGGATAGTGTTAACATGTACCAGAGCAAACTCAAACAACTGATGAACTGCAAGCAGAAATACAGTTAAAATTAGGGAAATCGCGAAAGAAGCTAGTGTTCAAAAAATTGACGATTTTTGCGGCGTCTTCAAATGTGCTTCTATTGTACGGTAATTAAGAGCATATTTAAAAAACAATATAACTTTTGAGCAAAGGAAGCGAGATAATTGAAACTCTGAGGAATGATCTTGCACATTAATAAGGTGAAATCCAGTAAATTTCTTAAAATTTGGTGCACGTTTGTAGGATTTACTAAAACTTTATGGTTTCTGTTTTGATTTATTTAGTTTCCCTGTACTTTGTTCACATTAATCCACTGCTTTCTTCTTTATCTAATGTGTTGTTTTAATTTTTAAGTGTATATTTTTTTCTCAGTCACAAAACAAAAACGAGTATACAGGGCAGAATTGAATTATGTATGCTTTTTAATAAAGGGGTCATTAGAATACCCAGATATATCTAATCACTCCCTTGATTCTCCTTCGTGTTTTAGTTAAAGGCAGTTGAGGTATGTTACTGATTTCTATAATCATATTTGCTGTTGTTTAACCAAAAACCTTTTCTTGAAAATGCAGATTAAAAATTATTTCCCTCCTGGGTTTTGTCAAAAGTTGAAAAAAAATTATTTCCCTCCTGGGTTTTGTCAAAAGTTGAAACCATGGTTAAGTTTTTAAGACAAACTAAAAGCTATATACTCGTACATGTAGTTTATTTATGGATCGTATACAACACCTGGATCTTCCAGTGACTTATAAAACAGCTACATGAACCACAATACACAAAAGACACTGTTTGTAAGTGCACTGATAATCAGTATATATTTATAGTTTTAACATTGTACAAATGATTTGATTTTGCGTGGCATGTACAAACAATATCAATACAGACGGCGGACCGCTGGAGGTAAAACGTAGTAGGTCTAGTTTTTTTTACCAAGAGTGTACTGGTATTGTCATTCATTCTTTAAGGCCTACGGATGTTCGGCATAAACAAATATATTTGGATGTATAGCATACAATATACAAAACAAGGTTATATTATTAAAAAACTATATTAACGTGTATACTAGGTTATATTGCATGTATATTGCTCCATTAATTGAACCGAAATCTAAAATGATAGTAATGTAGATGTTTTACTAGTTTTTAAAGCCTAGGCCTCACTGCGCTTGTCACCTCTGGCTACTTTTTAACAGCCTCAGTCACAGGTATGATGTCATACATGCATATTTTAAAGTGGTCGTTTAAGATTGCTATTAAGTTGCAAGTGGCATACGAAGGACATATTTTTTGTATCAAATGCAGTGCATCTGAATACAAAAAAATATGTTTCTCAAAGGTTGCATATCGTTCTCTTCTTGGTTGCCAGTAGGTCGTTATAACAAGACTTAAACATAGGCATATTCACCAGTTGTAATTGCATGGTCAATTGACGGTCATTCGTCCCATATACTAATCGGTGCTTATCATATGGCACCCCGGACTTCCGTTCTTAGGACTACATTGTACCATTAATATTCCTGTCACCCCTTGCGATAACATGCCGCTAGATGGTTGCATGCGCAGTATGGCCCCGCCTTTAGATAAACCAGTTCATTGGTTTGCTTTCTGTATAGTTTTCAGTCATATACTCATTAAGCATGAGTCTAAATTATTGCACCATACATTATCCTTTCTCTCCTTTGAGTAAAAACATTTTATCTAATTTTTTTTATTTTGTGTGTGACTTGTAATTTCAATTGGAGTCGTGTTTAATAAATGATCGTATGGTCATATTTGTTGTTTTATATTTGTATTTTGTGGTAATCTCATTTCACCTATCTTCCAGGAACGTCACACTTTAATTTTAAACCTTTTTTCAAAGGTACGCACTTTACAAATAAGTGACAGCTTGAAATGAAATAAATATACCCATTGAAAAACAATGAGCAGACTCGCTGACTTGTTTCCTTTTATTCCAGTATAGACAATGGCTATTTAATTTGAAATTCGGCTGTTGGGTTCATTTCATATGCCATAGTAAAAACTGTTTCATTAAGTGTTTTTAACATATGAAAAATGATAAATGATAGATAGTGCATCCTTGCTACGACATGAAAGTCGTAATACAATAATAACGAATTTTATTAGTATACAGTTTGTGAACAATTTTATGTAATGAGCAGATGTCAGGATGAACTCTTGGATGCCACTCTAGCCAATAATATTTCCTATGGAAAATGTGTCCCCGTCCTCACACATGGAGTTCCACGCCAGGAGATGACCCACGGGAGATGGTACCAGGGTGCAGCACAGCCTCTGGGACAACGGATACGTCACAACCTCGTTGCCACAGGCATGGGGATCGTAAGTGATAGCGATTGTTCGTCCTGGCGAATCGATTTCCCGGCGAAGCTTGTCACACATGTTCTGGCCCAACGTTGTATTTGTTAATCTCCCAAACACCTCACCTGCCACTTTCATTCCCAGTTTCTCTTTACCAAGAATTAGGCGGGTCATGCGCACACAATCGCGTGGACAGTTCTGGAACACTTTCACGCAATCAACGTCACTCGCAGCCGCCGGATATCCTGTCGTCTGCCTCTTATGGGTTGCATAGAAATTGGGGAATCTATTCAGAACAGAATAGACGGACTGACCGCCGTCGTCTGAGGCCCAGAGCTGTGTTTCTCCGTAAATCAGTGTGGTTAAATCGTAGAGATGTGTGCCAAGGCCCGTGTGGGGTGGTTCAGCGCGCAGACGACATTCGCAACTAAAAATATGGTATTTATCAAAATTTTATCATAAAGAAATTTATTGTGATAAAATGTCCTTCTTAAAAGCTTAAATCAGGACCTAGATTTTTTTTCGAATATTTTGTTGAAAGTTTAGGCAATTCCAAGATTCATTCATAAGCACGTCATATCTGGGCAAAATGCACCAGAATATATATATGTTTTTTTTTTGTGATACTTACGTTTTAGTTGTGTTTTTGGACATATACTCTGGAAAAGTAAATAGTTGGGTTAAGCTCGAATGTAGAAAATGAAAAAAAAAAGAAATCAAGCTTTAATTAAATGTTTAGTCATTTCGCAGCTATCATTAACGACAGAGAAAAAAATCAGTTAAGAGATGAAAAGTAAACCTTTCAAACTTGGAAGTGTCCTAGTGATGCTGACTTGATTTCAGGTAATATTATATGGAAGGGAAAACATTAAGAGTCGAAAAAACTTGAAAAACATTATAGAAATCAGTTACCAAGGCAAGTATGGCCATCAGAGTCCAGTTTGTATCCGGGGCGACAGGAGCAAGAATAGGAGCCCTGGGAATTGGTGCAATAATGGTCGCAGCCGCCATTTCCAGTTTGACACTCGTTCACATCTTAAATATAGTGTTTTTATAAACGAATATTACTTGCATCATTTATGATACAGTATGTAATAACCGCGGTAGACATTGTACTAATTTGATTTAACTTTAAGTATGTTCTCATGACAGTGTGTATATATAAAAAATGGCACCTGCACTTTTTTTGTTGGATAACCTGAAGCTTATTATCTAATGTTTGTTGCCCTTCTTACACCTATTTAAACAAAGACCTCGACGACGTACCTTGACAGGTATGCAAGTCACTTCCCAGAGTATAACCCGTTGGGCACGAACAGCGGTAAGATCCCTCAGTGTTGGAACAGGTGTGGGAGCAGTTTCCCTTGTTCAGGATGCATTCATCATTATCTGAAACGAGAGAAGAATTAAATGGTTGATTTTTAAAATACTAGTGCTTCTAATGATAAAACAGTGTCGAATTCGAAGATACCGCTTCCTGCTTATAATGGGGAACTTAATATGACAATAAGTGGTTCATTTTCATCGTTATCCTCAACTAACCCACTTACACAACAATAGCAACTCACACCATGATTTGTAAAAAAATAATAATAATAAAATAAACAAAATAAAATAAATAAATAATAAAAAATAAACATTAAAATGAAATATTAAATTTAACATAATTTTTGTCCTGCGTACATGTATAATTAAAAGATAGTCAAGGGGAAAACGATTTCAGTGCAAATGAACTTTTAACTTCTAGTATTACACCACCCACCTGTACAAGTAAACCCGTTGATGTCCAGGGTGAACCCTGTCCTGCAGGAACACTGAAAACCACCCACTGTGTTAGAACACACGTGATCACATCCTCCGTTGAAGCTACTGCACTCATCTACGTCTGAAAAAGATTTATCAATAAATGTATCGTTATATAGATCGATTAATCGGATTATCAAGAAAACAATAAAAATATATAGATAGGGGAAAAGGCTTTGCCAAGGAATATCAAATAGAAAATGAAAGAAACAAGAACAAAAAAGTTAATGGCTTGATCGACATGCAATATATAATAAACGCAACAAAAACTATAAAACTATATTAGGTTGTGCATAAAATATATTTCTGTAATTTCCCTTAGCTACAAAGCAAGGATTTATTTTTCCTCTAGGTGTGTCACACGGGGCCATTCAGAGACCTAGCTTACCCAAACAACCGAACTTGTCGCCTGCGAGCACATATCCATCTCTGCACGAACATACGGCTTGTTCTCCTATTGCCGTGCAGCTATGAGCGCAGTTACCATTGTTGAACGTACATGCGTCCTTTGCTAAACGAGAGAAAAGGGATATTAATTCAGCTTTAACCCCAAGATATTTACGAACGCTGTGAAAGGAGCGGCGTTCAGTTTTTCCACTGAATAAGTAGCAAAAGTCATGTGAGCGATAAATCCATAATTGCCACCTTACGATATTTAAACTTTTTTTAAACATAAACTGTAATGCAAAATGACATCAGCAAAACCATTGCTCTAAAGAAGGCGGAGAATGAAAAGTATAGTAGTATTCAACATATGAATGTGCCAATAGACCTACCGGCACATGTACATGTAGTCCAACAACACTATATATACTGTATATAATGTTAAGCACAGGTATTTTTTCAAGTCTTTGAAAAAAAAAACGTTAATCATAAATTGCTCACCTCCGGAACACTGCAGTTTCCCAAGAGTAACGACTGACTGCTCGGAACTATCGTCCAGGTCGTATATGTGAAGACTTGACACCGGGAGGTACGCGCTGTCTTCAAGATAACCGGAATCACTTCGCCAAACTCCGTCGTTTGAATTGCAGTTGCACTGCCTGAAACGATTTTAAGGCGATAAATACACGTATATACATGTGCTCTACCAGTAAACACGGTACAAACCAGTGGTATATTATATTTACATGTGATTTACATATACACGAACCTGTGGACTTTTCAAAATCCTTGATGGCATAAAAAGATGACGAGCTGTATCGAGTTTTTAATTTTTGAGTCACACGCACGTGCGCGCATGCGCTACACCTGCATGCATATATATTTAATCACATTTCTATGAAATTTTGTATATTACCAAGTAAGTGAGAACAACGTAAAATATCACAAAGAAACAAATACCTTCCTCCAGCACAGTTTTTCGACAATGCGCAGGCGCACTTGGAGCTGTTTGTAGGCGCGCCGCCCCAGTTAGCCATGTCGTATCCCTGTCTCGACTTCCACCAGTACTGGCCACTAAACGTGGACATCTCATAGCACCGGACAGAGACATACTGCCTACACTGTCCAGCTGTGGTCACTAGAGCTTCTATTTGGTCATTAGACACTGGGTAATTCACGTTAAGGTACCGGTCGATATTCCCTGGTCCCTTGAGGGTGGTGTCTTTGGCCAGGTTATGGCCTACGATATGAAAAATTAGAAGTTTAAATTCTCTCATCACAGAACGTTGATTTTTTTGTCCTTCATTTTTTTCGTAATACCTTTTTTGAAACCTAGAACACTTTTTCAAAATTGGAAAGCTGACCTCAACCTTTCATAATATACGTTCCATCACTTAAACTTTACCTGTAGGTTTCTTTTCAAGTCAACGATGGAAACGGTTATTTTTATCTGTTTACTTTTATAGCATGCTCAACAATCACAAATTGTCTGTCAAATTGATTTCCAAACATACCTTATCGAGTTAAAAAAGTTTATATAAGTTGATTACAGATGCACATTTTATTTACGCAGATTCCCTGACGGATCATGGATTTTTCTGAGGGGGTGGAATTTGGAGGTAGTGTCGTTTGTTTGGGGGGGGGGGGGGGCAAGGATAAAAACCGTCAACAATTTAGGACAGTTTAATAATTACATGTACTATGTACCTAGAATGCACCGGGATGGATAACTTCATTGATTCTTGTTTAATTCTGTCTCTTTTGCTCTTTGGCGGTCGGGATGGAGGGTGGAAGGTGGAGAAGTGAATCAAAATCTAAGGGGGTGTGGGGTGAGGAGGTACATGTACATGTACATGTGCCCCATGGGTTTCTTTCTGGATAGGCCTTTTTAACAGGAATCTAACTGCCAGTCGCCTAATACCATCCACTTACCAAGTTCGGTCCACATTTCCTGGTTAATGAGAATGCAGTTTACTGTGAAGGGCTGGATACGACCATCTCCGTCCGGATCAATAACTGTGGATCCCTCTTGTTGCACGTCTTTGCATGTCTTTGAGTTCTTAGGTAGGGGGCTGAAGGGGAGCGTGCCTAGTAGCGAACAAAAAGTGATTTAAAATATCATACTAAATCCTTAAATTAGAACTTTTATAATCTGATTTTAATGATAAATAGTAATTAAATTGCAGTACTGCTTTTAAAATAGGCTATTTGACTGGTGATCTTAAAGTCAACGCATTTTGATGATCTGTTTTTGCTTGCCTTCGGGTCATGTTGACCTGGGAACGACTCCATATGACACCATCTTTGGCATCCCATCAAATTAAGTGTCACGTCCCGCTAGCTAATCAGCGTTAAACTGATTACCGACCGGCTATGGTGTCATGTTGTCATTCGTGCTATTTCAAGCAGCCTTGTCCTTCGCAATAAACAGTTCAATAAAATATTATATGAACCCTTAATCCAGAGTATACGTTCGAAAAGATGTAGTCACCCCCTTCGTTTTGAACCATATGTAAAGTCCCATATGTAACTCACTGTTAACACAATCAGGCTTCACGCCGTCCCAAATGGCGACACTTCTTCCCGGGAGACGAACACAGAACATGTGTTTGGCGATGGCTCCATCAGCGAATGTAAAGCCATGGTTACACTCCACCAGGCCGTATTTACCGGCTTCCGTCTCCGGCAGCGGCTTGCCGTTGTGTATGTACAGCGACCGGCATCTCGGCAGAGCTGTTTGAAAATGTTGAAACGATAGGATAATAAATAATCAAATGATAATTTATTACGGTATTGGTTTATCTGTGGTTGAATCAATATCCTATTTGTTGTTTAAACTTGCCACAGTTTTGATATTCTTACGTTGACATAACCCTATAATCCGTTACATTGTTGAATGTTATGTCCTTATGAAACTTAACACAAATGTATTTATTCGTCTTTTTAAAAAAAAGGGATTTGCATGTCGTTTATTCATTTTACTCATTCATTTACTTACTTAAATTTTATCCTGAATATTCTGCTATCCATATGATATAAGTCAATAGTAACAATTGCAACAACGAATGCCGTATATTGTGTCCAGATATATAAGATATACCGCTATATTTTACTTACTTTGAGCTCGGGCGCTGTGAGCAAATGCCCCAATGCCAAGTATTAGGATGACAACAGCTGGTAGTTGTCCCATCTTCTTGAATAATCTGTTTTACAACCCGGTGGAGTAAGGGTCTTATACAGCGTTGGCGTGACGTCACTGGGGGGTGTTCAGAACCGTACAGTGTATTAGCCATAGAAAGTGTCTACAAGAGGTTATCATCAGGCTACAAGTCGTGATCTCATACACACACGTGCGCACGCAAGCACTCACTCACACTTGAAAAGATTTGCTCAGTCCGAGATCCGCTGTAAAAACAGCTTGATATTTTGATGGCATGAGTTAGATTCTTTCGGAAGTGAATGCGTTGGGAGATATTATCATCATAACTCCAGTTCAATCCCTCCAGCTGCCGCTATTTCGTTGACGGGGTTGATTCAGTTTTTCAAAGGATGGGGATAGGAATCGGTCTGTATAATTTATTTGGTGTATGAAATGTCTACCACGGCTGTCAACCACGCTCTAACTAAAATTATTCTAAAGTTGGGCCATCTCGTTCGTAAAACCTGCTGCGTAGAGCTATAGGCTCCCCGACCAATCCCTGTCCTATTCCAGATTTTGCAGTTTGATGATCATTTTTAGAACACAAGTACTTGGCTGTAAGATATTACAGTTACAGACATATCACGCCTTTCACCCACGGGGTCAAAGTTTTGATAATGAGATTAGCCTGAATCACAGACAATCACATCATTTCTCGCTAGTCAGTACCTAAATATAGGTTTGGCAGAAAAAACGGGCACACGAAGACATGCGCGAACAAACACATGCCTATTTACTAGTACACCCACACATGCGTACGTGTATATACACGCATGTGCACGCATCTAAACCCCATACACACGCCTACATCTACTTTCAAACGCGAACACGTGCTAAAACACACACGACGCCATATTTTGCTTAAATAACACAAACCTCGTCAATAACTTTTCAATTAAATGCATACAAGGATGAGATGTCGCCATGCTTGTCTCATTGAGCGTATTCTCGGAATATCAAGGTGTTCTCATTTTGTTTGACAGAGCCAGTGGTAAAACTATAGATGGCAATGGAGTGCGCAGAAATGCAGCCAATAAATTGCAGTTACATATTGTTGTAGCTGTTGAAAAGGCTTGTCTCAGCAAACACAACAGAGTGTCTTCTTGTTGCCGTAGAACCAGGGCAAAAACTCAATATATACCAAATTGTTGATGAATGATCATTTTAACATACAAGAAATCTGACACGAGTTTTCAGATAATAAGGAATAAATAAATAAGACGTGTCCTCCAAAGTTCTAGGATGCATTCAGCAATGTTAAGCGTACTTAAATATTTTAAATACGGGCCTCAGAAACTGCGATAAGGAAGTCAAGTTCAGGTATTCCATTCTGCTTAACTGACTGTTATCTGCGACGTTTCTTTCGGTCATCTAAATCATATTCATTCGCCTCGTGGCAGTCACGTGTTCGCCTAACCACAAGTCACGTGATTAATCTACATGTAACTAATCATGTGCACACTGCTACTTGAACATGCGCGTACGCCATACCTTTGAATGGGCTTGATGAGTTCCTTTCTATTTGAGTGACTGTCAATAGTGTGGGATAAGCTGATACAAAATTCAAAGTATAAACCCCACCAGACGCCTTTAAATTTATATGCTACGGACGCCGTCACTGCCTTAACAGTATCGCAAAGTCGGCTTTAAAACAGCCATGCATTTATGCAATTTACGCAGACTAAATTAAGTACGAAGACATGAGATTTTTTTAATTTTCATTTATTTATTTATTGTGAAACCGAGCACTGAATATTTGGACTCACGGTATGGACTTGACTTAGGCCTCTTGGTGCCCAAATCACTCCCAGCACCATGGTGTCCCCAATACATCTTTAAAAAATCCAATACTTAATTGTATGTACACGGTACGTCTTATACATTTTTCTGTTTTTTTTTCTTTTCATTGTCATCCAAAAATCATTATCTCGCTGTTTGTTGATCCGTTTTCCCCTTTATACATGTATATTTATTAACTCTGGTGACTTGATGTCCCCTTTGTCGAGATGCCCTCTGCTTGTGCTTTATCTACCAATACAAAATAAATTACGCTTCGAATGCTATTTTATACCAACTAGTTGCCCCCCTCCAAATGATAATAATATTAATAATAATTATTATATAAAATAAATAAAATAAACGTTTCTTTCGGTTCGGTAATCTTCACGCCCGTCTTTGTAGGCAAACATTTATGAATCTGTTTTTACAATTCCACTTTAAATAAACCTTAAAGCTAAGTTGATAGCTCGTAGCGTGATTAGGCCCATCGCGCCTATCGGTATGCGCATGCCCATCCATTTCGGAGAAACGTTTTTTAATTGGCATGATGTTCTTAACTGCCATCTAAATGTGCTTTGGGGAACATTCGACGTTATTTTCAAGAGAAACGGAAATTATACGTCGATTTATTAGCATCCCGACTGCTAACTAATAACAGCGATTCCGATTTGCAAAACAGTGAGTTATTTGCATCGGATAAAACCGCAAAAAGGTATTTAACCTTTGACTGCATACCGATGCACGTACATGCAACTCTGTATTTCATGAGATTCCAGGGCGATTTGAAGAGGAAAAATGTGAGAGATGATTTCTTTTCTAGCTGATCTAATACCGACCACCTGAACAGCGAACTGAATACCCCAGGTAAACCGAATAACGTTTTTTATCTAACACTTGTGCATATGTTAATTGAAAAAAGCAGCGCTACCTTTTTATAATAAAAACGTCTTTAAGACGACGCATATTCTAAATGAGAAGGAAAATAATTGGGAAGGCGTTGTTATTCCATTTAATTCACCTCATATCGGCGGCTTAACGACCGCTTGGGTGGAAATTACAAACAGCCTTAATGTACTTCTACATTGTACGACAGTGTTAGTACCTGCACCTCGTGAATTTTCTTGAATAGTGATGTGCATGTTCGTGTGTTCATTTCACGAGTTTCATGTACAAGTACGGAGATCGCAGAATAAAATGTCGTTAAGTTCTTGCTATTGTATCAACACGTATGCCCAGGATGATCGTTTGAATAAAGTTATATATTTGACGGGTGGAATCTCAAAACACATGATAGGGCCATGCAACACACTTAAAAAGGACAATCCCCTAAGGGTTTCCTGAGCGTGGCGTCGCAACTATGGATTAGAAAACTGTGGGTAGTCAAGGGGCATGTTCAATCAGGTTGAAACCATCTAACTTGATACCGTCTTTTCTTTTAATCGTACCATAAAAGCGAATTTATCGATACTTCACTTATGCTTGGACAAATAAAACGCCTCTTTCAAGTTTTACCGGAACTTCATGTGGGACATGAGGGAGAGGCTTAATATATATACAGGTATCGGGGAGGGGTGCCAACGCTTTCTGAAAAATTGTCCAAATTGTGCAAGGCTATGCGGCTAATTTATCTAATTTCGATAATGCGCCTGGATACACTTTGGATCTCATTGTTGCAGCCTGTGTGGCACCTATAATGGTCCGTCAACAGGAGAATTACAAGTGCATGAAGGCGACAAAAGCTATGATAGAGGTTATCTTCGTGTGGTGTGTAGTGATTAAGGTAATGTCACATCTAGCGTATAGCGCTAACGTATTAGAAAAATTGCCAATATGCAGACAAACGTAAAGGGTTCGCAAGACGTACGCCGTAAACGCAGGCACATGTGTACTGGGACATTCGCATACCCGGACGGAGACAGAATAATTTGAGCATGATCAAATACAATTTCATACGCTGCTTTCATCTTCATTAAAATACGCTGGGATCAGGGTGATTTCATACGCTCAAAATTGTGCCTATGATCAATGTCACATACGACATTCATTAAAGAGGTTCTAAAGCTTACTTACATGTAACATGTTTTAATCGAACGTAACCGTCAATTATGGGGGATATACGGCGATCACGTGCCCCAAAAGGATATTTTAAGATATTTTTAGGCTTATGTCATCCCACACGTTTAGTTTTTTATACAATTTTATACAATTTACAAAGTTGTTAGATCATAAACTTTGAGAAAATTAAACGTACATGACCTACATGTAGACAATAATCAGGATTACATTCGATCTTTTTTGTTTTTAATCTGATACACACGAAAGATACCGCTCATAGGTTTCCGTGATTAAGTCATAAATAGATAGGCAACAGAGTAGAAAAGAACTCAGTAGTGAATTTAGCATCGCATACCATGAGAATACATGTAGGTAGTACTTTCAGTTTGCTCATGGAAAACAAGCAGTCATCGTACGGTTTAAGTAAATAATATATGTTTTCAAGAGAAGGGTAAATCAAAACTGGTAATCGATCACAATTACGATTACTGTACACCAATACAGGTGGTACCTGACCAGCCCCGGGTTCTTTGAGGAATGGTTCCCTGTCCCACGCATGCGCAGAGTGATTTAGCGAAACCGTATTATCAGATTAAAGGAGCAGTAATCTGCTTGCTTTCCTAGTTCTGGAAAATGAGGCGCAATAGTCTTTGTATTTTCCGAGGTATTACCATTTGAACAGAGTATTTAGTTGAACAGTACAGCGCTGGAATCAAACGTCATTGTTATCTGGGCTGATGTCTTCAGGTACTATACCAGTAGTTACTAGGTTTACAGGTATATTCTGGGCTGAATAAAATTATTTGATTTAAACTTTGGGTGTTAATATAGACGTTTTGTATGTATATTTGAGCTGATGTCTTCAGGTGCTGGTTACTAGTTTTTTTATACTGTGCGAGATTTAATTGTTTGATTTAAACTTTGGGCGTCAACATAGACGTTAGGTAATAATTCATACCTGTAAATTAGTGCGTGGTTAACAAATAAAATGTCACCACAATTTCAGGTCGCTGTGGGTTGTGCGTTAATTGCGGTCATTATATCTGGACAGTATTGCAAGTGACAGGATGTTGGTACCTTAAACTGGTAAGTAATAGCTTATTACGTTTCTAAAGTAGATATAAGTCTGATTATTAAAGGGATAATAACTCTTCGTTTTGGAAAAAAATGAATTTTCCTGGAGTAAACAACAATTTTCCCATACTT